ATCATATTACAAACCAACCAACCCCAAACATATCAAGTTGGTGTGGATGTGGAGAAACTAGAACCCTCATACAATGACAGTGGAAATGTACGGTGCTGTCACAGTAGAAAACATTTCCATGGTTCCTAAATAAGTTAAACGTAGAATCACCATAGGAACCAACAATTCTATTGTTAGATACAACAAAAGATTGAAAATAGGTATTTACGCAAAAACTTGTAGAGTAATACACGAGGCAGCTTTTCCCAATAAATAAGTGGAAAAAAACCTAAAGTATATCAACAGATGAACAATGGATAACAAAAGTGCTATAACCATACAACAAATTATTATTCAGCTATAAAAAAGAATGAAGTATTGATACATGCTACCAAACAGAGAAACCATAATTACACTGTTTGAAAAGCTTGGCACAAAAGCCACATACTTACTTCATAGAGCAGTTATAAATAGAGTATCAGTATATTATTTCTGATAATATGTAATTTCAAGTCTTTATTACCCACTACAGTATAAATGTTATAAAGGCACGAAGATTATACCTCATTCACCAAATATGTTTATAATTTGGCTGAATGACTTTTACATGGTAGGATAGCAAATAACTACCAAATGAACAAATGTCATTCACTGTAAAAATCCTTCAGTGTGGGGCTGGTGCTGTAGCATAGTAGTCTAAGCTTCCTCCTGTGGCACTGGTATCCCATATAGGCACTGGTTAGTGTCCCAGCTACTGCTCTTCTGATACAGCTCTCTGCATTTGCCTGGGAAGGCAACAGAAGATGGCCCAAGTGCTTGGGTCCCTGCATCCTTGTGGGAGACCCAAAGAAAGCTCCTAGATTCTGGCTTTGGATTGGCCCAGCTCTGGCCATTGCAGCCACTTGGGGAGTGAAGCAGCAGATGAAGACCTTTCTGTTTCTCCCTCTCTGTCTGTAACTAATTCTCAAATAAATAAATAAAATCTTAAAAAAAAAAATTCTTCATAGTATCCCCAGGGAAATTTTTTAAGATTTATTTTTTTATTTGAAAGTCAGAGTTACACAGAGAGAGGAAATGCAGAGAGAGAGGTCTTCCATCTGATGGTTCACTACCCAACTGGCCACAACAGCCAGAGTTGCGGTGATCCGAAGCCAGGAACCAGGAGCTTCTTCTGAGTCTCCAGCTTGGGTGCAGGGGCCCATGCACTTGGGCCATCTTGTACTTCCTTCCCAGGCCATAGCAGAGAGCTGGATTAGAAGTGGAGTAGCCGGGTTTGGAACCAGCATTCATATGAGATGCAGGTGCTTCAGGCCAGGACAATAACCGGCTGTGCCACAGAGCCAGCCCCTCCCCAGTGCACCTGTAATAGAGTCACAATTCTTTATTAAAACTCGTAAGTCCAATGTGTTTTGGGCCATAATTCTTTCCCTTTTTTTTTTTTGGCAGGCAGAGTGGACAGTGAGAGAGAGAGACAGAGAGTAAGGTCTTCCTTTGCCGTTGGGCCATATTTCTTTCTAGTCTCATTCTTATTTCATTTAATAACCTACATTTCAGGCCATGCTGGGGATACAATGAGAAGAAGAGTTACATAGTACCTTACCCCTCCGAAGTCTATTTAGAGACAAGAAGGAAATACAAACAATGAAGCTGTTAGACTGAGGGGAAACTATTAGGTATTATTAGAACCTAAACAGGTGTTATCTCCATTAGCCAGCTTTTCATCACTTTAACAAATAACTAAGACAAACTACTTATGAAGGAAGTTTTATTTTATTTTATTTTTTTTGCCAGGCAGAGTTAGACAGTGAGAGAGAGAGAGACAGAGAGAGAGTTATAGATAGTGAGAGAGAGACAGAGGAAAGGTCTTCCTTCCGTTGGTAGACTCCCCTAATGGCTGCCACAGCCGGTGCTGCGGCGATCAGCAGCCAGGAGCTGGGTACTTCCTCCCGGTCTCCCATGCGGATGTGCAGGGACCCAAGCACTTGGGCCATCCTCCACTGCACTCCCGGGCCACAGCAGAGAGCTGGACTGGAAGAGGAGCAACCGGGACTAGTACCCAGCACCCCAACCGGGACTAGAACTCCGGGTGCTGGCGCCACAGGCGGAGGATTAGCCTAGTGAGCCGTGGCGCCAGCCAGAAGTTTTATTTTAGTTTATAGTTTTGGAGGTTCACAGTTCACAATGAAGTGAGCCCCATTGGTTTGGCCATCAAGTGTTCAGACGATGGCAATGGAAGAGTATGTGCAGGGCAAACCAGCAAACAGAGACAGGAAGCATGTTTGTTTGTCCATGTATTTGTGGTCTCTCCTTGTAAAGTCAGCATGATTTGCTCTCATGGGGTCCCCCACCAAGCACCCTAATCCAATCACTTTCCAAAGGTCTGACTTTTGGACACCATAATTGGATTAGGTTTCTACCCTTAATCCATTAACATAATAAGACTTTGAGGACCAAGCCTTAACACATGGGCCTTTTGGGAACAACAAAAGTAATGTTCAAACCATAGCACATCTGACATGGATTGTTGGGTGGGAAAGGGAGGGTCAGGGATGTTTTCTGGAATAAGTGACATTCAAACAAAAACAGAACAGACAAAAAGTTAGCTGGCTAATGGGCAATTTCTAGGCAAACACTGAAGTATACAGGGATTCCAAAGATGTTATTTCTGTGAGGTTCAAATATGGAATTACTGGTGGGGAGGAAAAGCGGGTAGGGGAAGATGAGAGAGATGAAAGTGAAAATGTTGGTGCTCTTACTGTAAGAGTAGTGGAAAGCCATTAGAGTTTTAAGAGGAAGCCAAGAAAAATACCCCAAAAACAACAACAAAAAAGCCACTATTTGTAACTGCATATTTAATTGCTTATATATCTTAGTGAGGATAGAAACTGTCTATTTAGCCAGTTACCAGAACAATGCCAGGCATTTACTAGATATTTAGTAAGTATTTATTCAGTGTTATCAAATAAAAAATCTAACTGGTATCAGAACAAAAAACCCAAGATTTCTGATTCATAATATTTATGCTACACATGTAAGCATATGAGTACAAATATTACATATATATGCACGAAGAGGTTAGAAATTCCTAACGAGCAGCTAAGCCAACAAAATTAATTAAACTGAAATGAATCAATTAGATTGAAACCATATTGTTATCTTATCAAAAATAAAATACAACTAAAGAAGTAATAGCAAATCCTGCTAGACATCATAAACTCTTTCCATCAGGCCTTGACTATGTGTCAGCTGTACATTTCTAATCTGAAAGCAGACCAACATAAACCACTTGGGGAGTGAAGCAGCAGATGGAAGGCCTTTCTGTCTCTCCCTCTCTGTCTGTAACTAATTCTCAAATAAATAAATAAAATCTTATTAATCTTATTAATTGGGAAGGAAGTACAAGATGGCCCAAGTGTTTTTTATGTAACCAAAATTTGATGAAACTGAGAAATGTAACTTTTCAACTTTCCAGATACTGATCTGATTTTACTTCAAATATTACAGTGACTAGTTTAATTTTTTAAACTCTAGATAAATGGCTTTAAAACTAACATGTTGAGAATTATAAGACACAATACACCTATGTGTCCATACTAGTACAATAATCCTACAAAAAAGTATCTCTTAACATAACTGTATCACATGAAAATAGCTAAAGATATATAAGCAGCTCTTTGCTATAGAACAATCTGGAATTTAAAGTTAAAATGCAATTTATTTTCCTTCATCAGAAAAAATGAATACTGATTATTTGTCATTACATATTCACCTAAAATTGTTACTGATAAAAAATTGCTACTGATGAAAATTACATATTCATTTAAAAACTGTTATTGGCTATTTATCTGCCAGTTTCAAATATATTTATATAACATAAGAAACATAGGCAATAGATGCCTCAATGTTGCAGACAACACAGTTGATTTATTCTACAATTCTCCGAATCCTTTTTAAGACCTTACTAATGCTTACATTGCTTTCTGTGATGAGCAGAGCCCTACAGAGCTAGGTGGAATACAGTCACTAAAAGTATACTTTGAGTTTAAATAATACCACCAACTTACAGGCACGTTTTATTTTTTAAAACTATTTTCATATTTTTTCCTTGTATCCCTCAGAAGGTGAACTGTCCCATTTCAGATGAGAAAACTGTGTTGAAAAGAATACACGTGACTTTTCCAGGGTATTTACTGAATCTGTTACAAGGGCATTACTAAAAATGGTGAGTCCAAATTAAGATTCTTCTTATTGGATCCTGCTAATTCTTAGTCCAGTGAGAGTTATCTTTGCTTTAGCAGGGATGGTCTCATCTTTGGCAGGAGTCAATTATCCCAACAGACTACCATTTTCTTTAGAGTAATTTATACTACAAATAAACTAGAAAAAAAAAAAAAGGCCTGCAACTCATCAAGCTCCTTAAAACTCTAGCTATCATGAACCTCCCTCAAAGATTCTATTGCATCAGTGACAGTCCATTGGGTATGATGGACAAGGAAGACAGCAGCAGGCCGGAGAGCAACATCTAAGGCGGCCCTCAGGGAAGTAAAAGCCACCACTGCTTTCCCGTCATCACTGCAAACCCCGCAGCGGTGAACCCCAAACCGAGGGCAGGGCGCGGAGGCCCCCCGAGACTTCCCCCTGGGGGGCAGGGCTCAGAGGCCCCCCGAGATTTCCCCCGGGGGGGGCAGGGCGCAGAGGCCCCCCGAGACTTCCCCCTGGGGCTCCCCTGGGCTGTAATCTACTAGGGGGAACAGCGCGTGGGGGTGGGGGAGGAGGATGCACCTCACCTCGCCCACCCCTCCGTAAGCCCCCGACCCGTCTCTCAACGTGACCAGGCCCCGCCGGGCAAGTAGAGGTTCGAGGCTAGCACCCTGCAAGGCTCTCTCCTGCACCCCATGCACCGTCCCCCTGCCTCTCCCGGCCTCCCGCTTCCTCGTCTGTACGCCTGTGCCCAGGGACATCTCCCAGCCAAACCGACAAGAAGCACCATCCTCAGGGACGGAGCCTTGGGGAGTCGTCACCTTTTGAGGTATCTGGCGTCCTCCCCTTGCATGGCGGCGGCGACGGCGGCGTGGGGAGGGGAAGGGGAATCTGAGAGGCCGACGGGGCTATTTCCGGGGACGGTGGCCAAAGTACCCTCACACCCCAAAGCGCTGACAGTCCTGAGGCCTGCAAGGCGGGGCAGCCGCGGCGCTGTGGTTACCACGGTGAGGCCGCCGGCTCCTCCCACAGCTCCCGGGTTCCCAAAACCCAGCGGCTGCCCAGACCCGCCCAGAGCCGCCTCTGCCAGGCCCTGCTCAAGGCGCATGCGCCCGCTCCGCCGCACAAGCTTGCGCAGGCTCAGTCCGAGGAGCTGGCCCCCGCGACTAATCTGACGCACTCGGGAACACAGGGAAGGTTTTGGTGTTGACTGAGCGTCTGTGATTAAGGGATGGCTCCCGGATCACCGCCCCCTGGAGGATAGGAAGGGAAAGGACCGTGCCAGTCGGCCGAAGTGGAATTTCGTGGAAAGGAGAGGAGAATCCGTTAACCTCTGCACCAGCAAAGGCGGTAGAGCAGGGCAAGCTTTGGTGAATATCTGTAAAGTGAGAGTTCTGTCTTGGGGCATTGTGGCATTGACCTTGCTGAGCTGGCAGCTGTGGAGACAATATGGTTACCCTCAACTTGAAAAGTGGCAGACCTGTCCCTGCCACTGGAACGCACTCCATCTCCCCCTGCACAAAAGCAGCTCCTGAAGTTGGGACGCCTCCACTAAATTACCCTTTAGAATTGTTTCTGGCGAGGCAGGCCGTCGTGGTTGGCCAAGGCAGAGCGAAGGAAAGACAGCGACAAGCCAGTGAGCTCTGCTTGAGCAGTTCCCAGGGGCTCGGTGTCAATGGATGGATGACTGTGCAGAAAGCGTCTCCGTTGCCTGCCCTCCCCTGTAATCCCGTCACTAGCTCTGTGTTTGCAGTGCCCTTGAGATGTGTACACGCTGGTTCTGCCCAGTTAGTCCCTATCCTTTGTGTGTAAAATACCATGTAACACCTTGTGTAGAATATCACATTGGCAGGTACAGCTCCTATCCTACAAAAGACCCCTGCTTTCCCACCCATCCACACCGGCTAGACTCTTTCTAGAATGGTACTCAGTTATTCTACAAGGGGAGAAATTTTTGAGCTAATTTGGATTCCTTCCTCTCTATCATCCTCTCAATACTGTTACGAAATTATATCTTATCTTCCTTCAAGATTTACCTGAAATTCAGCTCTTCTCCCTTCTCACTTCTTTCTACTACTCTTCTTTTGTTGTTGTTCTTGAATTTATTAGTTCTGATTTCTGTGGATTTCTTAGGATTTTTACTTTTAATTTATTTTTAAGGAATTTATTAATACATTGGGATCTTCAACATTACAGCCAATGCATGATAATTACTACAACACAGTTCTCATAATGTTAATGCACTGTTAATACAAAGAGAACACATTCAATGTAGTTCACAGGTAAAATTCTAAAATAAAATGACATTTCCTTCTTTTCACTCTCCTTCTCTCCCTTCTTCCTTCCTTCCTTTCTTTCCTTCTTACCTTCTTTCTTCTTCTCTGACTTTTGAAACAACATATTTTTAATTTATATTATAGTCAAAGGCTTAATGTTCCACTAAATAAAGAGTTCAACAAGTAAAAAGACCATAATTCAACAGGAATATAGGCAAGGGCTATAAACAATAATCAAATAGAAAGATGTCCATTTCACTTATATACAGTAAATTTGTAAATAATCAGAGATCATTAAAACTTTATCTATTACTCTGCTAACCACATCCTACCTATATATAGTATAACAATTCGTTGGTAAGTGGACTTTATATATTCTGTGTTTTCCCACATAATCAATTTGCAGATTGATATAACCTATCATTTATGACATCTTTAACAATAGTATACGAGAATCCTTATTTGACGGTAAGATATACATTAAAATATATTGTTATTATAAAATGCATTCTTGCAATGTAAGTTCCTTGAGATCAGAGAATTTTTTTTCACTTCTGTACCCTCAGAGCAGCATCTAGCCTGCAGATAGAATTGGATACATATTTGCTGTTGAAAAAAAGGGTACCTGATCTTGACAAAATAACAGCCAACAACAACAAAACCAAAGGAAACCTTTGGCAGAAAGGAGGAGAGAGCTGAAAACTAGACAATAGATTAAATTGAATTGATAACTGACTAGAGAAACAATCTGTAGTAGGAAAATTATAACATGAGTCTGGAACCTCTTATGCTTGAAAGTAAGGAAATACTCCAAGACCAAGGAGATTGTATAAAAAAAAAATCTTTGAGATTTTTTGATCATAAAAGGAAGAATTACTGTGATTGATTAAAAAATGGAGTCCATATTGATCTCAATCATATAAAACAGAAGAAAAGTAATCCACTTTCATTAGTGGCAACTGCTACATTAAAACTTTCACCAAATCCTGTAAATTGGGAAAGGAAAGAAATAAGTATTTATCCCAATTCCCTTGAAAATAAGCTAAAATTCATTTCTTTCACAAGGAAAAACTTAAAAAAAAAAACAGAAAATGCTTGCTAGTAATGGAGAAAAAGAATCTATTTTGCAAATGTAAAATAAATAATGGATTCAACTAAGCCTTGATTTGTCGCTCCCCCTCTTCGTGGAGGAACGACACTAAACCCTGCCTAGGCTTCGTATCCGAGTCACGGCACCATTATGTCGCTCCCCCTCTTCGTGGAGGAACGACACAGGACCCTGCGCTGTTCTTTCGTCTGCTCGGCCCTCCCCGGGTTTGCTGCTGGTTCTTCCCGGGTTGGCTACTATCCCTTCCACCTCCGTGGAAGGGCAGTTCCCCCTGGCCACATTCCCCACTTCCGCAGGGGAGCGGCACACCGCCGGCCGGCTTTCTCGGGGGCTGCACGGGTGTTCCTTCAGCTAGATGTTCCCCATAGATGTTCCTGGTGCATGCCGTCTCTCTCCTCCTTTATAGTCCTCCTCCGCCAATCCTAACTCGGCTGCCCACACGCCGAGTACGCTGCTCTCCTCCAATCAGGAGCAAGTCCTACGGTTTATTAGTTGAACTGGAGGCAGCTGTGCGGAAGCTGTTTACTTCTCTCCCAGCGCCATATTGTGGGAGAGCAGATGCATAGAATAAGTCTTAATTCCAGTAACTCAGTCTAGTCCGGGTTGCTCCCCACAGGAGAGCAGATGCATAGAATAAGTCTTAATTCCAGTAACTTAGTCCAGTCCGAGCTGCTCCCCACATTGATTATTTAAAGTAATTTAAAATATGGCAAAGTTTTACACAACTTGATAATTGTAAAAGGAAAAAAAATGTTATGTTACAGCGAGATCTGGCTGTCAGCATTTAACCAAACAAGCAAACTTTGCATAACTAGCAGTCGTACTATCTGATTGTATATGTAATAGGGAGCATGAAAGATTACTTATGCAATTTTTGTGTCAAAGATTAACCTGGATATAATCAAACTGTTAGATCTAACATCCGTTATCAAGTAAAGATGAAGATCATGAAGAGTGGGAAATATTCAATTAGAAATCAAGATGTATCATAACAAAGATAATTGCAAGGTATAGTATTGGAATAAGAATAGAACACCAACTGAGACAAAAAAAGAGAACCAGACTCATGTACATATGTAAGCTTGAAATAGGAAAGAAGTGATTTTTCAGTTCATAGTAGAAAATGAATTTTCAATAAATGTTTATGGGACAACTGGTTATGCACATATAAAAAATTAAATTGGATTCCTACCTCATGCTATTTACAAAGCTTAATTCTTTTTTTAAAATTTTATTTAGTAAATATAAATTTCCAAAGTACAGTTTATGGATTACAATGGCTTTTTCCCTCCATAACCTCCCTCCAACCCACAACCATCCCATCTCCCTCTCCCTCTCCCATCCCATTCACATCAAGATTCATTTTCAATTATCTTTATATACAGATCAATTTAGTGTATACTAAGTAAAGATTCCTACATGGGGAGTAAGTGCACAGTGACTTAATTCTAAATTGACGTTTAATTGTGAAAACATTTTATGATATTTAGATACAAATACAGATTATTATTATTATGCTCTTAAATCAAGGATGAATTTTTAAAAGACAATACAGAAAATGCAAAAACTAAAATATTAATAAATTCCCTAATTAAAACAGTAGCATTTCTTACCAATTAAAGAAAATAAACAAAATGAAAAGACAAGTCAGAAATGATTTAATCTTTTTACATAACACAAAAGTGAACAAAGTGTTAATATAAGGATCATAAGAGCTTTTATAAGAAAAAGGAAAAAGAAAAAACCCATACAACCCAATGGGAAAATGAGCAAAAATAAAAACACTAGGAATGCAAGAGAAAAACAAAACATGAAAATAGGCTCAACCCTCAGTAATAACTAGTTATATGAAAATTAAGACCATAAAAAGCTACTAGTTTACACGTATCAGAATAGAAAAATAAATCTGACAATACCAGGTGCTGGTGAAAATATGAACCTCACCTCACCCCTGCTAGAATGGCTCTCATACAGAAATTAACAGACAAAAAAGCTGGCTAGGATGTGGTGTAAAGGGCACCCTAACCCACTGTTGGTGGGAATGTAAACTGACTATGGAAGATAGTATAGAGAAATCTCAGAAATCTGAATATAGACCTGCCCTATGACCCAGCCATCCCACTCCTGGGAATTTATCCAAAGAATGAAATCTGCATATGAAAGAACGATCTGTACTCCCATGTTCATCTCAGCTCAATTTAGAATAGCTAAGATATGGAATCAACCCAGATGTCCATCAGACTGAATAAAGAAATTATGATATATATATACATATATATATACACACAATATGGAATTCTACACAGTGGTAAAAAATGAAATCCCCTCGTTTATAACAAAATGGATGCAAATGGAAACCATTGTACTTAGTGAAATAAGCCATTCACAAAAAGACAAATACCATATGGTCTCTCTGACCTGTGGTAATAGAGTACCTAAAATATAATCTGTAGGAGCAAAGTTGACACCTTAAGATGCAATGAATTTGAATAGCCCTTCTCTTGACTGATGAGGAAGGTTTTCTTTTTTGTTGTTGTTGTTCTTTTTTTCTTTCTTCCTCATACTATTCAATGAACTCTACTTAGTGTAGAGTTAATCTTATAAGTATAATATTAACTGAAAGTAGATTTATGTGAAAAAGAATAGAAAAGGGAGAGGGAGGAGGAAGAAGGGTGGGAGTGTGGGTAGGAGGAAGGGGGGGAAGAATCACCATGTTCC